TCTGAAAATAATTCATTTAATATATATGTCTCGTGCATTGCACGGGATACGTACTAGTTTTATAACGAGTGAAATAAACATGTAAATTGTATATTAAATTATTAAATATCAGAAAATAAAATAAAAATAATTATCAATATTTAAAACTATTTTTATGCTAATTAATATTTCGTCATTATTTTAATACGTACAATTTATAATTATTGGTTTGTACATCGTAAATGCTACATAAGCTATGTTTGGTAGACAAATCAGCTAGGTTATAGCTTATTTGGTTAGCTTACAAGCTCCATGTATTCAAATAAGCCTCGTTTGGTAAGACGAGTTTTTTTAAAAAGCTCGAGCTTATTTGATAAGCTTCTTTAGGTAGCTTTTCAAATAAGCTAGTTGAATTTTTTTATTCCAGCTAGCTTATCAGCTAATTTTACCAAACACTTTTATCGTATAAACTAGCTTATCAGCTATAAGTCATAAATTATAAAATAAAAAATTACTGATAAGCTATAAGCTAGCTTATCAGCTAGTTTTATCAACATAGCCGTACTATTAAGGGAGAAAAAAAAGGCTTTCTTTAATACCGAATCACGTGATTTAAATAAAGAACAAGCTGGCTAAAGCGAATTAATATCGGGATAAAAGAAGTGCGAGAGATGCTTCTTAAGATATTTTCACACGGGCTATTGGATTTAATATATTGGCTTTAGATTATCACTTTTTCTTAATATATGTACAAATTAAACGTTCCATTAATAACCAAAATAAAAAAAATAAATAGAAAAAATAGAAAAAAAGCAATGAAGGCTTTCTAAAGACTTGTTCTTTTTAGCTTCAAAGTTCAAACATGCTTGCAAGCTGTCTAGCCTTTGGGATTATTTTAATAAAAGAAAATCCTTAATTATAGCAGCTAGGATAGAGATTAGCATGTCTTTGGATCTACCAATAGTGAACATGGAGAGGTTCACCGTTCACGGCATAGAGTCTTCGACGATCAAGTCATATATCAGTCACTAGTATGATGCGTACATGATAATAGTAAACAAGATGTAATGTAACAATAAGCATACATCCACCTTTATTTACAAAAACGATTACCTTGTTGCTAAATAATTCTAGCTTCTTAAGGAACTGAGATATGCACGCACCTTATTTCCTTAGATCTTCTTCCGCGTATATTTCATATTCTTAGGATTCTCGTAATCCTACCCGTTCGTCAGGTCGACTCGAGGTCACCCACTGGGGATTTATATGATATCTTGTGCTAGCTCGCTGACCGAGGTCTTAGCTCACCTAAGTCCCAGGTCGCTAAATCGATCTACCACAAAAGTACCTACTTCAACCCACTAGACCTAACTTTTCTAGGTCAATAAATCGACCTACCACCTTCAGGTACCTACTTCGACCCACTCATCCTAACTCCTCTAGGTCGAGCTAAGGGAGCCCTGGTCTAAAACCGAGCTACGCAAAGAACCCCGGTTCGGGGACGAGTTCTCTATGTTATATCATCCGCATATTAGATACTAGACAGTTCAAGGTTCTAGGCAACTAAATTTTGATAATTTCGTGATTTTTTGCTTATAAAATAAATAAATATATTGATGGAATTCCTTCGTTTGAAGCAATCGACCTACTTTCGATGAACTATGACTGATTGAGAGATCACAAATTCTTGTATGGAGCGCACTAATCCTTAAATAGATTGATTCATTATATGTTATTAACGAAATTACATATTATTATTA